GCAGGAAAATAAAGTTGAGGACACAACAAGATTCAACCATGATCTCATTGAATAGTGGACCAAGCTCAGGGGGCCAAATGGCCTTCTCCTACTCACATACTAGGTGTTTCAAAACCCCCAATATCACTTTTAAAATTGTAACACAGTTCAAATCAATTCTTGATCTTTCACATTCCTATCTCTGCAATCATCTCCAGTCTAACAGTCTTCCTTGAGATCTCCAGTCCTCTATCTCTGGCCAGTTATACATTTCTGTCTGGTTTGCCATACCATTGACGACCGCGCCATCAGCTGTGTAGGCCCAAAGTTGTGGTATTACGATCCCTAAACCTCTTTTCTCACATCCTTTATGATCATTCTCAAAGCTTATCTTCATGATCAAGCTTTTAGTCATCCAACCGTCTTTCAGCTTAGTGTCAATTTTTTACCTGATTACACTCCTATGAAGTACCTTATAATGTCAAAAACATTGTGTAAATACAAGTTGTTGTAAATACAGTTTTAGAAATTGTGAATTTCTACATCAAGATTGAAATAATAGTATCTTCTGCTCTTTACTACTAGCAAAACAAAGTTGTGACCTATTGAGAGAGGTTAGAAAAAATAAAATTCTGCTCATCAGCAAGAGACAAAATTTGTTGTTCAAATGTATGAAGGAGAGATTATGGGTGGATGGGTCTGTGTATATAATTTTTAGCAGCAGAAAAGGATCCCAGAAAAATCTACATACATAAATGTAACGTGGAAATTAGTATAGAAAATAGGAGCAACAGTAGGCCATTTGGCCCATTGAGCTTGCTCTGCCATTCGGTATGATCATGACTGATTTTCTGTCTCAATCCCATTCTCCCACTTTGTCCCCATGTCCCTTGAGGCATTTAGCATCCAGAAATCCAACCATTTATTCCTGAAGTATATTCAGTTAATTGGTCTCCACTGTCTTATGTGGTAGAGAATTCTATAGGGCCAACACTCTCTGTGAGGAAATTTCTCCTCATCTTAGTCCTAAGTCGTCTGGGAAACTAAAACAGCATACAATACTCCCAAGTATGGTGTCACAAAGGCCCCTTACAGCAGCAGCAAGATTTCCTTGCTCCTTTGCAATGAAGGCTGACATATCATTTGCCTTCCTACCTGCTTGCTGCACCTGCATGCTTGCTTTCATTGACTGATGTACAAAAACATATGGGTCCATTTCTGCATTAACATTTCCCGTAAACACTACATAAATACTGGTTGTTGTACCTAGAGTTTCTCTTTTTCCTACTAAAATGGATAACTTCACATTATACTGCATCTGCCATGTATTTACCCACTCACTCAACTTGTCTAAATTACCTTTAATCTCTTTACATCCTCCCATGCAACTCAAAATCACACCTAGTTTTGTGTTTGGAGCAAATGTGGATATATTACATTTACTTTCTGTCTCCAGGTTTCTATTATATATTATGAATATCTGGGATCCAAGTGCCTGCTCCCTTTGGTACCCACTGGTCACTGCCTTACACTCTGCCTTTCCTTTCTGCTCACCAATTCTCAATCCATACCAATATATTACCCCAGTCCCATATGTGTTAATCTTGCACATAACTCTTTTGTAGGAATTTATCAAAACCTTTCTGAAAGTCAAAATATTCTGCATCTGCTGATTCTCTGTTATCCGTTATATTAGTTAAATCATCAAACAAAACTTACTAGATTTGTTAAACATGGTTTATCTTTTCATAAATCCATCATGACCTTATTTAAACCTGTTAATATCTTCAAAGTGCCTTCTGAATTCATCCTTTATAATTGACTGCCATCATGTTCCCTACTACTGATGTCAGGCTCACCAGTCTGTAATTCCCAGTTTTCTCCCTCTTTTTTAAAATAGTGTGGTTATATTTGCCACCATCCAATCTACTGGGATTGTTCCAGAATCTACAAAACTTTGGAAGATGACAACTAACGCATTCACTATCTCCATGGCCGTGATCCTTAAATTACCAGGCCCAAGAGATGTATCGACTTCTGGTCCCATTAATTTCCACAGCACTTTTTTTTCACTAATACGAATTTCCTTCAGTTTCTCCTTCCCAATAACCCTTGCGACCCTAGCATTTCTGGGAAGTAATTTGTGTCTTCTATGAATACAGAATCAAAGTAGTTGTTTAATTGCTCTCCCATTTCTTTGTTCTCCATTGTTAGTTATCCAGAATTTCAGAACTAAAGGGGACCTGCATTGGTCTTCAACAATCTTTTTCTCTTTACATACTTATGGAAGATCTCGTACTTTATCCACTTTACTTTTGTATTCTGCTTTTTCCCTTCTTATTCAAACTTCTGGTCCTCTTTTGCCATATTCTAAACTGCTCCCCATCCTCAGGCTTACTAATTCTACTTGTGAACTGACATTTTCAGTAACTTCTTTTGTTAGCCAAGGTTGGGCCACTGTTCCTATTGAATTTTTATACCAGAAATAACTGTTGCAATACAGGAATTTGTTCCTTTAAACCTAGCATTGCCTATCAGCCATCGTGCCTCTTAACCAATCAATCACAGCCAACTTTTGCCTCATACCAAAACAGTTTCCTTAGTTTAAATTTAAGACCCTACCTTTGCATTGGACAACTTGACCTTCTATCCCAGTGAGGAATTATCATATTTTGGTCACCCTTCCCTAAAGGACTTCACACCACAAGATTATTAAATAATCCCTCCTCATTGCATAATACCAAATCTAGGATAACCCATTCTCTGTTTGGTTCGTCAATGCACAGGTCTAAAAAAATAACCACCTTATACATACACCAGGATTTCATCCACCATTGTGTTATTGCTCATGTGGTTTGCTCAGTCTATATATAGAATATAGTGACCCATGATTACTGTAGCATCCTTGGTGCATACATCTTTAATTTCTTGTTTAATGCTGTCCGCTACTTCATTACTATTGTTTCGAATACCATAAACAATCCCCACTAATGTTTTATGCCCCTTATGGTTTGTTTGATTCACTGTGACTGATTCTACATAGCGTCATAGAGTCATAAAGCATAACAGACCTTTCAGTCCAATTAGTTCGCGCCAACCATGTTCCCAAACTAAATTAGTCCCGCTTGTCTGCATTTGGCCCATATTTTTCTTGCAGTGTCACTCTTTGATTTTTTCAAACTCAACCTGTTCCAGAGTAGAAGTATCTCCTGCAGGTCCAGTTCCCTCCATTCTACATTCTGCAATCTACATTCCAATCCAGCTGTATCTCAGTGCTCTTGCTTGTGTTCACTATTCATACTTCAGGAAGTGATGCCCTACAAACTGATTACCTTCCTCTGACAACCATAGCCATCTGTTTGTATAAGGTAGGGATCATTGGTTCTGCAACACAATCGTTTTTTGCCTTTGTTACCATCATGTTAGGGACAGTTACATTGAAGGAAAAAGCCAATTACCCAATGATTAATTGCACAAGACTTCACAGTTTTATAATAAAAATTAACTTCATATTAAGCATAGCAAATTCCACTATAGCTCATAGAGTTATGCCATAAACTCCATTCTACTTGTTCTTGTTTCCAAAAGTTCCCTTTTACATGACAAAAGTCTTGAAAGTTTATTCAGCACTTATGAGATCAACCCAAGGGTATGGCCTGACTGTCTAGAATTCTCTTTAATTTCTCCTCAGTGTTCCAACTGTTCTTCAAGGTGTGAAATTTCAAGGGGACCCTTCCATTAGTTTTTGGCTAAGCAATCTTCAACATTAACTTCTTAATGTCAAAACTGTGAACTTCTTTGTTCACACATAGGTTGGTGAATGCAGTGAAGCCCATCTGCTTCCTTCCACAGAAGTTACTGCCTTTCACTATGAAATTGCTTCCTCTGTCATCAAGCTCAGGATATCTTTCAGTTTCTTTTCCCCTCAGAAATTTCAAGCTGTGTTTGTGCCCCATTCTCATTCTGTGCAGTGAATAATAATTAATATTCTCTCTGCTCAAGGCTCAGTTAACTCTTCCACTCTGTCAGCTCTGAACTGCGACTTATACAAATCCAATCACTGCAATCTTCTCTATGAGAAGGATTTAGATAAAACAAACAAAGGAACTGCCTAACCTCCACAGCCTAACTGCATGACAACATTCTTGTGATGATTAAATGCAAACTAATCATTTGTGCCTTTAGCACACCCTTTAATTCTATTAGCCATATTAATCACTATTATCTCTAATAGATTTCTACAGCTCTCTTTCCCAGAAATTTTATGCCCATCAGTGAACACCCATTTTGGCTAACTACTTTTTACCTTTACTTTTGGGAATTGATGAACATTTTGAAGCTTTTATTTACAAGGCTGGACTTGCTGCGTCTCATAAAAACTCAATCATAGGCTATCCATTTTTCAACTTTTCACCCTTCTAGATCTGAGCTCATTAAATAAAAACTTAGAACTGCAATTACTCCAGGTCCATTTAAACTGCAGCTACTTCAGGGTTGTCTATCATTTTCTCAATTAAATGGAATCATCTAACGTGCATTAAGCACTTGAACCTCCAACCGAGAAGTTGTATTCTTAATGGATTTGAGTTATGGAGTCAGACATTGGCAACACCTTGACATTGAGGGCAAATACTGTTCCTCCTGAAATTTAACATTTGTGTGCCTGTGGCTGGATCAAAGCTATGGTAAGGTCAGGAGCTGAGTGATTCTGGTATTAATAATTTAGGAGGTGGTTGATGGGTCAATAATAAACCAGTTTTGGTTAATGTCTTTTTTTTTTAGATACAGCAGGGCAAGCTTAAAACTGTCCAAATGGAGGCCAGTGCTGGTTTTACTAAAATAGTTTACTTAGGTTAGCAGCAATGTAACAGATATTTGTTATAAATTTCATCTTGGGTACTGCTGATGTTTCAATTAATGGTTGTCATCAAGGCACCATGATTGATTCACAGCTTCAGCCATTTTATTCTGATAAAACTATTAGTGTCCATTATAATATTAAACATTCTGTTTTACCGTAGGACCAGTTTCCATCTTCTGAAGAAAAATGAAAAGCTTTTGCGGGAACTTAAAAACCTAGACTCAAGGCAATGGTAAGTGTTTTCTGCAGTAATTGGTATGTTTCAGGCTGAAATGTTTCACGAATCCATTGGATAATTTTTGGACGTTCATTTAAACAAGGAAGGCCCGCAGCAAGTCTTTCCTCATTGTATCTTTTGTAACCTGAATGACAACTTTTGATGAGACTCATTACCATACACCAAAAAGGGGTAAATGTACTGTAAATGAGCTACAAAATCATTATTGAAAGTAATACCCCAAATTCAAAAACTGGAAGAAAAGTCTGCCATCACCCAATTGAGTTATAGTCTCTAACACAAGCCTGCAGTTGTTTCTGACACTGTTGACTTGTTTAATTCAGTTTCCAGAGTGATAATGAGCTGAACCATCTTTCAAAAAATATACTCGTAAGACTAGAGCCACTGGGCAGAACATGTCATTTGTATGCAACTGTTGTTGCATTGAGATCCCCAGGAGGATAGCAGAAATCTTTACAGATGTCCTTAAAACATCCCTGAAGAGGTCAGATGTCCCTGTTGACTTGTAGGAGTCTCTACTTTGTCACTGACCAAGATAGAAAACCTTCATTCATGAAGGCAACCAACACGTTCAGAGACTTCATCCAGTGTAAGAAGAGATGAGGCCAAGGTACTTCAACACAGCTCATCTATCTGACCCACCAAGCACCTTGTGGCAGAGTTTCCAGACCATGCATTGAACTTACCAGCTATTTCAGAACCCACAAAAGCAGAGTGGAAACAAGTTATCCTCAACCCTAAAGGACTGCCTAAGAAAAGCAATTAGTCTGACCACTCCAGGGCCTTGGGCCAATCTTCACCTTGGCATGTAGCTGCTTCCGGATTCTTTTTTCTAAATGAAGACTTTTCATGCGACTGGATGACAGGATGCAGAGCTGGGCAAAGAAGTAACAGATGGAATTCAACCCAGAAAATTGTGAAGTGATTTGTTTTGGAAGGTCGAATTTGAATGCTGAATACAGGGTTAATGGCAGGATTCTTGGCAATGTGGAAGAACAGAGGGGTCTTAGGGTCCACGTCCATAGATCCCTCAAAGCTGCTACCCAAGTTGATAGGGTTGTTAAGAAGGCGTATGGTGTGTTGGCTTTCAATAGCAGGGGAATTGAGTTTAAGAGCCGCGAGGCTATGCTGCAGCTTTGTAAAACCCTGGTTAGACCACACTTGTAATATTGTGTTCAGTTCTGGTCGCCTCATTATAGGAAGGATGTGGAAGCTTTAGAGGGGATGCAGAGGAGATTTACCAGGATGCTGCCTGGATTGGAGGGCAGGTCTTATGAGGAAAGGTTGAGGGAGCTAGAGCTTTTCTCATTGGAGCGAAGAAGGATGAGAGGTGACTTGATAGAGGTGTACAACATGATGAGAGGCATAGGTAGAGTGGATAGCCAGTGACTTTGTCCCAGGGCGGAAATGACTATTACGAGGGGGCATAATTTTAAGGTGATTGGAGGAAGGTATAGGGGAAATGTCAGAGATAGATTCTTTAGACGGAGAGTGGTGGGTGCGTGGAATGCATTACTGACGATGGTAGTGGAGTTAGATGCATTAGGGACATTCAAGCGACTCTTGGATAGGCACATGGATGATAGTAAAATGTAGGGTATGCAGGGTAGTTTGATCTTACAGTAGGATAATAGGTCGGCACAACATCGTGGCCTGAAGGGCCTGTATTGTGCTATACTGTTCTATGTCCTATGTTCTTATTTTGGTGTTTGCTGATGCTAATGAAACTTTTTGAGTTGGTTAAATAAGGGAAGGCAATGCTTCTGGTGAACATCTTACCATATTGAAAGTAGTAGAAATGTTGTGGTTCATTTAGTACTAAGATATTGTACAAATCTGTCACTGAGCATTAACTAGCAAAACCAATATTTGAAGTTTTACCTTTAATTCATTGTTTAAAAAAACTATAGTGTATAGTATAACTTCTGTCTTTCCTATGCTCGTCATTTGCATATGTATAAACAATGTCTGTTGTGAATTTTCACTGTAAACTAGCTACGTGAATTACCTGTTTATGTACTCCTGTGAGATAAAATTGTTGAATTAAGTGACAAGTGTTTTTGCTACTTCAGACAGACTTCATTTTTAAGCTGTTTTCACGAGTTATCTTACAATTTGGAGATAATTCATTTGAATGTGATACATTCGCTGCTACTTTTTAGATGATACTCATGTTCTAAAAATTATTTAATTTTGACACACACGACTCTCATTTCACCCTTCGGTTCTCTTTGATCAGTAGAAATGTTGACATGTGTGTACCCTTCACAGGAAATTTCTTTTTTTTTTAATCATTGGATATGACTATCATTGGCGTGGCCAGTATTCCTTAATTTTGTTTGGGAAGCTTGTGATAAGCTACCTCCTTGAACCACTGTAGACAATGAAGTGCAGTTGTAGTGCTATTAGGAAGAAAAAGCAACAATGAGGAATCCATATTCCACTTGTGAGTCAAAACACTGTGTGACCTGGAGGAAGACTTGCAGAAGACCATGTTCCAATGTTTGTGCTGCCTTTGGCCTTCTAGGTTATAGAGGTCGCAGGTTTGGAAAGTCTACTTAATTCCCTTAAGAGTCATGAGATTTAGAGCACAGAAACAGACCCTCAGTCCAACTCTTCCATGCCAACCAGATATCGTAAATAAATCTAGTCCCACTCGCCAGCATTTGGCCCATATGCCTCTAAACCCTTCCTATTCATATACCATCCAGATGCCTTTTAAATGTTGGAATTGTACCAGCCTCTACCACTTTGACTATTCACTATTCGTGAACCTCATGATTTTATAAACCTCTATAAGGTCACCCTTCATCCTCTAATGCTCCAGGGAAAATAGCCCCAGTCTCTTCAGCCTCTCCCTATAGCTCAAACCCTCCAACCCTGGCAACATCCTTGTAAATCTTTTCTGAATCCTTTTAAGTTTCACAACATCTTTTCTATGGAGAATTGAAGTGCAATAACAAACAAAGCCAGAGGTGCAACGGACTGTATTGTGACTCCAGTTTTTGAAGGGCAAAATTTCCCAGTAACCTTCCTTTAGTTTGGTGACAGTTGTTTTAACTCTGCTTCCACAAGTAGCAAATCTGTAGATTTTACAAAAAAGTGGATGATCCAACATTGCATTATTTGAAATTATTATAGAATGTAGATTTTTTTTTTTGTCTCATGTTAAATTAACTACTGTTTTGTTCCATGCAGTCGAGAAACGCACAAGATAGCAGTGTTTTATGTTGCTGAAGGGCAGGAAGATAAGCACTCCATTCTAACGAATACTGGAGGAAGCCAATCCTATGAGGATTTTGTAGCGGGGCTTGGTTGGGAGGTAAAGTTCCTTGTGCTTTCTCAACTTATCTACTTTTCACATCGCTTACTGTATTGGGGCATTTCTTTAGCTCTAATATTGTTCCCATCTTGTTAGTGACCAGTAACTTTTTTTTAAAGAACGAAAGAAGAAATCCAAATCCCAGTGATTGATTAAAAGAATGAAGCTACAAGATCCCACAGTTTAAAAATAATTTTCTTTACTATAAAAGAATCTAACAAAGTAAATCTTAAATACTATCTTGATTAATTTCCCACACTTTTTTGATTAATTTCCTATACTGTAGCACCCAGAATCAACATCAGTTAAGCAGGCAAATTATAGATAATTATGAGCTATAAATTACACGTTAAATGGCAAATACAACTCAGTCACAATGTCCTTCAAAACTCTCTCTTCTTTTCAAGGGATGGCAGCTCCTTGTCTTCTATTCCCACCCAAGTTCTAGTTTCACAAAACTGAACAAAAATCACACATGCAGAATTTCCTCAGCCTTGCTTGCAATGGCACATGTATATCCATGTATGTTAGAAAAAGAAATCAAGTTGCATTTAAGAAAACACCAAATAATGCTTTCAAGAATTTTTCACTTGGCGAAATCATGCCACCTCTAAAATTCTCAGTACATGCCTGATACTATGAACTAGCCTCTAGTTTATTACATATTCTATAAGCAGTAGCAGTTGTATTGATGTTGAAGTCCAAGAAAGAATAGTTCCCTTAATTGATATATGCAAAATGATTTATAGCAAGTTTCTTGCAAAATAATTATCAAGTCATATTTGCCACTTACTTTGTGCATCAAAGCATGAGATTCTTCCACAACATAGCAATCATTTTCCACCCAATAGAGTAGACTGTTGACACTATTGGGATTCATTTTCTATGTGCATACATGAAGAAAAGCCATTTAAGGTACTAGAGGGATTCCTACTGTGTACAGATCTATCCCAGCAAAAGTCTTCCATTCAGGAAAGAAGTCAGGAAGTAAAGGCCCAAAATGTTGAAGTGCATCTAAGATATCAACTGTTAATTTTTGTCACTTCTTAAATCTTGGGATTTCTGTTTAATCATAGTGTGGATTTTAAGACTGGGTCTTCAATCAAGTGATACTTTTGCAGATCAACTCTTGATAACCAAAGATTTTTATTTATAGTAGATAAACAAAGCAATGTTAGTCTTTTTGTGAATATCTTCCTTTTGATATCCAAGATGTAATATGATGTTGTCTATTTTTAAACTTGAATATTTTGTGATGTTTATTTCATTATCTCCATGTATCATAAATATTTTTTTGTTTTCAGTAGTACATTATGATAGTTCACGAAGTACTGGAACTTCTACCCATAAATTTCAATCTAAATCTCAGGACATCTATCTAATCTTTTTCTCCCATATCCTGCTAACACTTGTTAACCTTATGATCTAGTTCACCTTTTTCAGTTACGAGCATTATAACCTGTGAATCAAAAGAACAATGATTTGCTGTTGTTTACAAACAGATGGATGTAGGTTCCTCGAGCATGGACAAAATCATGGATGAGCAGATGATGCCAAAATGCTGCCTATTCTCGATGACCTTTTACCCTCTTGCTTATCAAATATCTATCTACCACTTCCTTACAGATATTTGAATACTCTACTTCCATGCCTTTTTGAGGAAGAGACTTCCAAAGACCAGAGTCATCTGCGCGAAAACAAATTCTCCTCATCTCTAAAGCAATCTAAAACAAAACAAAGTACTGTTGATGCTATAAGTCTGAAACAGAAATAGAAATTGCTGGAGAAGCTCAGCATTGTTGAGAGAAAGCAGAGATAACGTTTCGGATCCAGTGAACTTTCTTCACAATCATTTCTCCAGCAATTTCTATTTTTGTTTCTCCTTAGCTCTGTTTTAAATGGACAATTCATAATTTTAAACAGTGACCCTAGTTTCAGATTCCCCCACAAGAGGACACATCCTTTGTCATCCACTTGTCAATACCCCTCAAGATCTTTATGCTTCAGTCAAGTGGCCTCTTACTTTTCTAAACTCCAGCAGATACCATTCTAGCCTGTCTAACATTTCCTCCTATGACAAATCACCTATTCCAGATATTTGCTGAGTAAACCTTCTCTGAATTGTTTCCAATGCATTTACATCCTTCCTTAAATATGGAAGAAAATACTGTACCCAGTACTCCAGATGTGATCTTACTAATGCCCACATAACAGAAGTATAATCTCCCTGCTTTTGTATTTAATTCCACTCGGAATAAACTGCAACATTCTATTTGTTTTTTCATATTCACTCATGGGATGTGGTCATCATTGGCTGGCCAACATTTATTACCTGTCCCTAGTTGCCCTTGAGAAGGTGGTGATGAGCAGCCTTACATTTCAGAGGGCAATTGAGAGTCAACTACAAAGAACAAGGAGAACAAAGAAATTTCTAGTACAAAAACAGGCCCTTCGGCCCTCCAAGCCTGCACCAACATGCTGTCCATCACAACTAAAACCCCCTACCCTTCTGGGGACCATATCTCTCTATTCCCATCCTATTCGTATATTTGTCAAGACGCCCTTTAAAAGTCACTATAGTATCTGCTTCCACTACCTCCTCCACAGCGCGTTCCAGGCACCCACCACCTTCTGTGTAAAAAAACTTGCCTCGCACCTAAAACCCATGGCCCCTGGTAACTGACTCTTCCACCCTGGGAAAATGCTTCTGACTGTCCAGTCTGTCCATGCCCTTCATAATCTTGTAGACCTCTATCAGGCTGCCCCTCAACCTTTGTCATTCCAATGAGAACAACCCAAGTTTCTCCAACCTCTCCTCATAGCTAATGCCCACCATATCTATATTACTGTGGGCTGATGTCGCATGTAGGGCAGACCAGGTGAGGATGGTGTATTTCCTTCCCTGGAAGACATTAGTGAGCTAGATGGGTTTTCCGACAATTGACAGTGGTTTCATAGTCCATCTGAATCAGGGCTCCTCCATGTTGAAACCAATTGCAAGAAACACTGAGGGTAGCAGGAGCACAAAATGTATGCTCAGTGGGATACTTCAGGGTTGATTGCCTAGGCTGGTGCCGTACCGCCATCATTGATCAAGCTGGCTGACTCCAAAGGGTATAGTTGCTGAATTGGGCCTGTTGAAGGTGGCATGGGAACGAACAAGAGGGATTAATCTACTTGACCTCAACATCATCAATCTCCTCAGAGCAATAACCATCATGACAGGAGTGATAACCACAGTCATTGTAGAAACAAAGTCCCATCTTCAACTGAAGTACCTTCTATTGAGTTTTATGGCACTAGGACAGACTACAAACAGATCTATCTATTCTAGACTGGGCATTTATGAAGAAGCAGTGTGGACCATGAGCAGCAACTGAATTATATTCAACCACAATCTGTGACCTCGTAGCTCAGTGTATCCCCACTTTACCATATTCATCAAGCCTATATTTCTTCATCTTTGTTTTGCCAATTTCTTTGTTACTTTCACATCTGCACTTTCCATTCTGCAGTACTGTGTTCTTCATATCTGGTAGAAGCTTCCCATTGTTTTATGCAATATCCTACTTTGTTTTTGTACAATAGTAAGTTTGGGGTGAGATGGGCATGATGTCTAGATTTCTGAATTGCAGCATTTTTTCCTTCTGGGGATGTATTTGTTCTGAGCCCTCCTTTATCTCTTCCTTAGATGTCGCCCATTGCTCGTATATTAATCTACCTTGAAGTAGTTATTTCTAGTCTTTGTGAAAACAAAACTCACACCTCAGCCTACTAAAATTGGCCTCACCACTTTTTTTCCCTTAGCCCATCATTATCCTTTTTTATATCCATGTTAAATCTAATGGGATTATGATCACTGTCACCAAAACAGTTTCTTATGCATCTTCCGTTTGCTTCATTTTTAAACTAAGTCACCAAATTGCTCTTGTTTATCTTACTGTGCACTAACAAAGAAGTTCTCCTGAATGTGTACGCAAAATTCTGTGTCATCTATAACTTTCATACTGCTTTTATCCCAGCTAATACTCGGATAATTTGAATTCCCTACAATTATGATCCTATTATTTCTGCAATTCTTAGCAACTTGTCTACATTTTTGCTTCTCTACACACTCTGTCTGATTGTTTGGATGCCTATAGTATACTCCAAGGAATGTGATAGCCTTTTGTTTAAATGCTTCATTTCAGGCAATATCGCCCCACTTGAAAATCACCATCATTGTTCATGGTTGTGATGACTTTGTCAATGAATATTGTGACTTCACTCCCTCATTGTTTTACTCTGCCTCTTTATCCTGTATATTTATTTTCCATTCCTACCTTTTAAGCTGTTTTTCAAGAATAACATAAGTTTATGGTTCAATGCCTCTTGTTAGCAATACGTTTTTGGAGGTTGAACAATGTTGGTGACATGCGAAAAGATTTAACCGTTGAGATATTAATCTTACTGGATTCTATTTCAGTGTAATGAAGCAGTCTTTTGCTTTACTTGAACAACTTGTGAAATAGATTAGACGTTAGAAGACCTTCTTTCGCACCCCCACTGCCATTGCAGAAAGTTTTCTTCAAGTATGCCAAATGACTTTTGCAGAGAAGAAAGACATGTTGCCAAAACGTTTCAGCTTTCAGTCATCCAGACAAATGCAACAATTCCAGATTTCAAACAATTGTGACAACTTATACTACAAGATAAAAGGTTGCTGAATGGTTAACAAGTTGACTCTGGCTGAGTTTTGCAGATGTGACATGCAACAACTTCTGGAAATTCAAAAAAAAACTCTGCCTTTTCTTTGCAGAGAATTCCTGCCTTTGAACTTGTGTTGTTTCTAGCAAATATATCTGTTGTGAGTTTGACTGATGACCTAAAATTGGTTGTTAGTGTAAATATTAGTACATTTAGGATTGCTCTACTCAACTGAAGAGTCATGTATAACAGTCAGTTTTTTGTTTTGGATTTTGCAAGCCTGGGCAGCTTAAGAAAAATTTCCTCCAACTCGGTAATGTTACGTCCCTAACGTGCAAAAAATCACAAGTAGTCCAGCATATTATTAAATTGCAGCCATGTAGGAATTAACTGTCTAAAAGTTTTGAGACATATATATGATAGATATATTATAATAGTTGTCATGTATTCTAATGCTATGTAACATTCTCTGGCCACAACAACTAGCTAAATAATACATAATTCATGATATTGGTAAACTTGGATTTTCTTAATTATATTCTCATTTCTTTCTGTTTAAGGTTAACCTTACTAATCATTGTGGCTTCATGGGTGGACTACAAAGAAATAAAAGCACTGGTCTCTCCACTCCATACTTTGCTACCTCCACCGTAGAAGTAATATTTCATGTATCTACAAGAATACCTTCTGATTCAGATGATTCTTTAACAAAAAAGGTATGGTTTGTAATAATATTTAGCTACTACATACTCTTACCACTTTTTGTAAATTGTTAACTTGGTACATTGAAATATAGTTTCAAGTCAGGTGTCAATTTTATTTCATGTTGACATTGCTTTGAAATTGAGGATGTCTGATTTTGAAATTGCACAATGTACCAATGGGTTTTTTCATTGTGCCTTACTGTTATAATAATGAAATCATCTGTTAAAAATTCTGGTAGACTTATTTCAAAACTTATTATGTTGATTGTTCCTAGTGTTGACTTCTCAACTTTTAGCCACCTAAGTAAGCATTAGATAATATTAGTTATGTAATGTTAACCTGTATATGCAAAATCACACAGTCAAAGAGGTCTACAGCAGAAAAAATAGTCCTTTGGCCCATCAAGTCTGTGCTGGTTAAAACACCGCCTAAACCATTCTAATCCCATTTTCCAGTAGTTGGCCCACAATATTGCATGTCTTGATTAAAGTTACCATAGCATTAGTGAGTTCATTTATCCTGGCTGTCTTCCCTCCCCTGTCAACCTGTAAGGATGCATCAATTTCCACTTGGGAAAAATGAAAGCCCTTTTCTACCTCAGGGAAAAGAAAATAATTGAATTAATCAGTTTAAGGAGGAAAGAGTTCTCAAAAAATCTATTCAGGAACAAACACAATTATTTCCATTTTCTTTTATAGTGAATGTGACCTTGGCTGATAGTAGTGTTTCTGAGGTGGTACCAATTAAGTTCTATTTGGATTCTGAACAAAATAATTGTGTATGTGTAGAATGACAGAGGAAATTAACAATTATCAATGTTATATCTAGTACACTGCCATGAAAAGTAGGAACCTGCAACCATAATTCCACACAAATTTTAATTTTCATGTTAGATAACAAGGTGTAGAGCTGGATGAACACAGCAGGCCAAGCAGCATCAGAGGAGCAGGAAAGCTGACGTTTCGGGTCTAGACCCTTCTTCAGAAATCA